TTTGCTTTGGAGGCTTGATATCCAGTTGGATTACAGTGAGGCAACACAAGGTGGAGAGGTTTGAATGCTGGGTATCCACATCACTGAGATTTGGAAAGGAATAGCAGCAATAACCAGCTTCTCTCCACCAGTTTATTGGATGGAAAATAGCTCAGCATAATATGTGCAAAAACCATTCATAAACGTTCCCTTCTAGTACCTTTACATAATCTAAAAATATGCGTGTTGTTTCAGCACGTTGGAGCCTGTCTGGTTATGCTCCAGCTGTAAAACTAACAATAAAAATAAAGAAAATGATGAAAAATACAAGACACGCACCACAAAAAAACCAGACATTTACAGGAGACTACAAGGCTATGTCCACAGAATTTTCAAGCAGAAACATCTTCACACCTTTTGAGAAGGTGGAAAAAAAATCTCTGAAGTGAAAAAGCATTCCAGAGCAGAGGAACCAAGAGTCTCTGGATGCAACCTATGGTCCCTCCATTCTCTGAGTGTGAGCAGGAGGAAGGAATCCACGTGGATGGATTTCAAAAACACCAACAAACTCCATGCAGGCAGAAAGACTTGTCCACAAACACGAAGCTGTGGAGATGAATTAAAGCAGGAAAAAATACTGTAATGGGTAAAGTTCTTAGTTAACAGTGCTGGATGTTACACCTTCCTGTATGCCTAATGCTCAGTTTCATATATATAGRTATAAAAATATGTGCTATGAACAATTCCTTCCCCTAGAATATGACATCTCTTCCATAAAAGTGACAGAAAAACCATTTTCTGTGACACTGTTTGAGGATAATTAACATGGTTTTGACATTTTTGTCCTAACATAATGAACCATTCACTGTTCTAATGTTGGACATCAGAGCCTTGATGTTCTTCTCTTCTACAAGACTGCTTTAGTTTGAATTATCCCAGRTTGTCTGATGCTATGAGAGGAAGAGTTATCAGACCTTCCAGACCATCATTCAGCAGTTAATTCCAGCCTGGCATAATTTAGAGTTCCTATAGGACAACTCTGTGTTATGCCAGGTAATGAGAGCTCAGAGACTGCAGAAGGAGCAGGACAGAAAATGTGCTGCAAATCCACCTGTCAGAGCCAGGAGATGGCACAGCAGATGCTCAATRCACTGTGGAATTCCTGGATAGACGAGGCTTTGCTTACACCATCTCAGCTGGTCATCATCCATGATTTATGGCATTTGTGTGCTGCCAAACAGGCCACGGGAACTGCATCATAAAAGGGATTTGGTCCCATGTGCCTCGAGGACATGGCAAAAGATGAAAATACTTCCCAATAACAAGACAGCTTTCATCCACATCAGCTCCCAGAAGCCAAGCCAGAAAGAGGTAGTGTATCAGTTCATAGGAAGGCACAAAGATGTTGACCATGCAGTTTTATAAATAATTTTGTTGATGGATTAATAGAAAATGTCCACGGAAACCTTCTTAATCAATACCCACGACAGCTTCATTTTCTTATTTAAATCAAGTATCCTGCAAAGGTTTAAAACAACCTCCTACTAGTTTTTTTTTTTTTTTTCTGTAAATTGATTGTTAATATCTAAAACCACACAAAAACTTCCTCATGGCTCATACAAACGACTGTGTGAGCAAAGGTGACAGCCATGATGGGATCACAGCCCACCTGAGAACGCTGATGCTGATTAATCCTTGGTGGTTAATTCCTTACTCAGGAAGGGAATTCTGGACATCACACAGCAGCTGTTATCTTTTTGTCTATGAACAGTGTCTGCAGGAGTGTCAGCATCTCCAAAGGACCAACATCCAGTAAGGGCTCATCGCAGATTTCTGTCCACAGGACACCTTCCCTTCCCCTGCCCTGTGCTCCTTCCGTGCTGAGCAGCATTAAAAGGACAAAACCTCAACAGCCATAACACAAATCACAACTGTTTTTCCTCAKAGACAACAATCCAAAGGAATAAATATGACTTTGAAGGCAAGCAAGGGCTTTCACTTCCTTCTAAAGGATATAGAAATGGTTTTCGTGGTCCTTCAGCCTGTTCTTATTTCTCATTTGCATCTGCACAAGGAAACCAGGTTCTCTTTTCAAACAGGCAATTCCAAGCAGCAAAAGCCTTGAGTATGCCAAGAAAACAAAAATATCCAGTTCCCAAAGTTTACAGATAAATTATTTCCCAAACACAATGAAGAGCCAGTAATTATTAAAAAAAAATCCATTTCTAAATCTCAGTACCATTTCTCCCCAAATAATCAATCCCTCAWACACACAATTAGCTGACTGATAAAAAAGTTAAATATAAAATATTTTGAAAATATATATACAACCTCTTTTTAATAGATTAAACTACCTTCTATATACTAAGTCTCCAAGAAATTCACGTGACACACCAAAAAGTCAATTGTATAACTTCATCACTTATTTTAAGTAAGAAACACAGCATAAGAGCATAACTTCTACTTAACTGTTACGTAAATACACAGCAAAAGACATACCATTGAACTGGTGTTCAATAAGTTTATTGCTAATGATTAAATAACTTAATAGTCTATTCCATTCAGTGACTTTGAACAGCAGCCTCTAATAGGCCCTAATCCAAATAACCCCTGGAATTAGCAGGAGGAAGATCCCAGGTTTAAACAGACACTGAATCAAGTATGTGCTAATGTTCAGGAAAGATCCATCCAAAGACTGTCTTGAGTCTTCACTGCTGAAACAACTGAATGAACACCACAGGAAAAGAAAAAGAAAATAAATACTGCCACACTCCTTAATTCTGGTAATTTGTAGCACTAGTGCTCAACTAGTGGGTTTTTTAAGTAACATGTTGAATGAATGACCAGTRCTGAAGTGCTAAAAATACACAGTGTCTGCGATCCCTTAACAGGCTTCATTACACCTTCTCTTGCTCGCACTGTTATCCAGACATCCCAGACAGATAATGTGCTACAAAACCCAGCGTAAAAAGGATGGCAGAGGCAAGATAACGAGCGTTAGTGCCAGCCAGGTATCTACAGATCTTAATCCTTTTTACTAAGACGGCAGATAGTGAGGATTCCTGGAAAAAAAGGAAAAAAAATCCCCAGGAAGAAGAAAAAAAGAAAACAAGGCTGAAGCATGTACACATCCATTGTGGGGTCAAAATTATTTGAAAGCACAGCTTTAACCATGCAGCAGAAGCATCCCACTATTCACTTACTCACTTTTATTCCCCCTGAAGAAAAGAATAAAAGAAGAGAGGCAAGCAGAGATGGTGTGAGTGCGTACARTATCAGGTATTAGTGCTAGAGGGAGATGGAGAGCGACGGCAGCCCCTGCAGGACTGATCCCACAGGCTCAGAATCCCGTGTCTGAAGAGCAGGGAAGGAGGGAAGGCAGCTCAGGCAGAACTGACAGCTAAATGCACGGCATGAGGGGCTGCACAGAACGGGACAGCTTCTTTCTGCCTCAGGATATTACTGTCACAATGGCCGAGCGAGCGAGGAGCTGCGGTTTGCCATTGTCAGCGAGGCACTTTCACAAGTGGCTCTTTTGAGGAGCGCCGGGCAGGTGGCACACCACGCTGAGCTAAAGGGATAAGTGCGAGATTTCGGCGACAAGAAGCAGCAGGTTTCGCTGCTCTAAAAAGCCGGAGAGCCAGTTCTCCTGATGGCACCGATGGGCAGCGGGGGAAGGTCAGCCCGGGGTGCTGGCAGTGTCACCCGGTGCCTGGTGGCAGATGGTGCCGCTCCGCAGGGATAAAAGCGSGGCTGACGCACACCCTGGGCCGGCAGCGCTGCTGTTTGCTCGGGAAAAAGGGACCTTAGGGGCAGGAGCGGACAGGACAAATGGCCAAGGGGTGCTGAGCCCCTCCAAACGCTCATGTGTTCCCAGAGAAGGGGTTGTCAGCGCGGATAAACCGGGAGGAGCTGCAGGAAGCGCAGCGGGGCTGGCACTGCCAGGGAAGAGGAGATGCTGCAGGTGCTGCTGCTGCTGCTGTCGGGGGCTGCGGATGGGACACGGCCCAGACCAACCTCTGCAGGTCCCGGGAGAGCTTTGGAGCCGCCTGTCCCTGCCCACAGCCAGGCTGGACACTGAGCTGGATGTCCCCCCGGCAGTGCCCTGCCCGTGTTCCCGTTTCTGCAATTATGCAATGCTGGAGGGCAGAGCAGCTCGCTCCCGCTGCATCCCCGGGGGGCTCCCCGAGTGTCCCAACCTGGCAAAGCCGCCACCTCCCCGCTCCTGCCTCCTGCACCGTAATTATTCCGGCACGACCAACATGGCAAATGAACAAGGGAGCCAGGGTTTCTGCAGTCAAAGGGAGCGCTTTCCCCAGGAATAAATTGTTCCAATCCTTTACGCTAGACACCCGGCCGTGCCTATTCATTAATTGGACAAGCTCTGGTGACAACTGAAATTACCTGACTTCTRCATACTGGAGGAGAGAGATCTTTGCAAGCTTAAAATAAAGCTGGAAATCCCAGTCACCCCAGACCTCTCTGAATCAGGCTKTTTTTTWAARGGGGRAAAAAAAARTCAGAGTACAGCCACAGTAAAGCTCATTTTAAAAGCAGAGGAACATTCTTCACTGTTAGCCCTTCCTTTGCAGACCCTCAACCGTGGCACCAGAACATGACAACTCCATCAACGAACCACAAACCCTTCAAGATCTGCRYATCAGCCGAGTTTAAGAACTTCAGRAGCTCTGAAATTCTGGRATCGMGACAGTGTTGCAAATAATCACCACAATCATGTATATTAAAAATGATAAGCATCGCCCTTATCAGCACACTGTGGTTGTTTATTGYAACCAATGCATCATAATTAAGACACACGCACTGGAATTAAGGGGCAGAGGGAAGGGATGTTGGTCGATTTCTGTCACAACCCACTCACAGCACATCATTCATGGATTTTCCAACTACAATTTTGATCTGGGTTACTCAGACTGTGTCTCTTGCTCCTTAATAAGGGGAAGCCTGGGAACCTTGTACGGTATTTCCCCCCCTCCCTCGCCCTTTCCGTGCTCGCTGCGTACCTGAAATGCAGACGATGAAATTCGCTTGCAGAAGAAAAAGCACCTCCCAAACAATTTCCATCCTCCGATTCTCATGCCAAGTGCATCCCTCGGCGAAAAAAAATAACAAAGATCAATATCGCAGTTTGAACGATCCCAGCAAATTTCCTTTCGGACTTGCAGACTGTATTCCCCAGATGTGCTGACAACACATGTCCGAGCTCTCTCTCCGCACGGCTCAAGCGAGATCCCTTCCCTTCCTTCGCCCTCCAAAAAACACCACGAAGCCAACTGCCAGCGCCGGGCTCTTCCTCCACGAGCGAGAAAAAAATCCACCAGATTTCCCAACACGACATAAGACAATAAACCCCAACCGATCCGATATCCGCCGAGTCTCTATTCCAGGGGCGGCCAGGCGCGTGTTAACCCCAAAACTCTCTGCGCGTCTCAGCGGGGCAGTGCCGGCATGCCGGGCAGGGAGGCGGCGGAGGGAGGGGGATTCCCCTCCTGCTGCTGCTGCTGCTGCTGCT